CAATGAGCACCTCATCGAGCTTGCCACTTTGATGGGATTTCAGTTGAAAACCATCGTGCTGTCGCTGCAGGACCAGTGGCCATGCAATCGGGTTAGATGGTGGGCAATCCTTGCTCCAAAGGAACTTGACCTCACCGACTTCGTGCCCTGAAGCAAAGACATCCACTTCAGTACCATCCAGCACGTCATTCCTGACTGGCCGCTTTGGGACACCGTGGCTGAGAATCAACTCCAACTGGACGAGGTCGAGCTCACGTTCTACACGGACAGCAACTATGGCCAGGAACCTCCTCGCCTACTACAACAATCTGGAACGTTGCGCCAATGCCCTTGTGGTTGTCGACAAGCTCCTTTCAACCTACAGCGACTACAGCGTGGGGGCATCAGGGGATGTTACATCATCTCCCAAGTCACCGGCAAGCCCCGATACCTCCATACCTCTGAGGCGGCCCTGCTATGCACCATCCCAGTGAACTACAAGTTCCCCGGGGACGCCAGAGCTGGGCTTGTCCTCATCGGCCAGGTCGCTGCACCCCTTCAAGCACAATGGGTATGCGCACATCTTGTCAAGGCCGTCCAAGCTCATTACGGCTGGGAACCTTTGTGCCAACCCCAGACCCTCATCCAGTCCACCAAGCACAAGCTCCTCTGGCAGAAGCACCACCTTTGGGCCACAGACGACTCCCACGCCACTCGACACGTATGGCTTCAGGACAACCATGGACACAACCTTCACATCCTTCGTGAAGGATACCAGACAGTGCAAGACCTGCTTCAAGCAGAAGAATGCCTTGCCGAACTCCCCAAACAATTGCAGCTCTGGGATGGAAACCGACCGGTGCCAGCTGATGCCGTCCTTCAAGATAGAGGTCTGCTTGGTCCATATACCTTGCATTCCCCATGCACCACCAGCCCAAATGTCAGCAACCATGACATCGAGATCCAATTCCATATCGGGAGAACCACAACCACGATCTCAACTCAGGCTGGCACCTTCCTTTTCCAGGCATGCCTCAAAGGGCACATCAACCCCAGGGAGACGCCACCTGTTGATCTCCTTGGCCATGCGCTTCGGCTTCACACTCGCCTATGGCACAACACTGTTCTCAACTGCAAGGGCCTCATCGTTGCCGGTGGACCCTCTGAACACGGGCTCAACGACCAGCAGATCAGCAGTGAGCTGCATCGACTAGCTCACATCCACGGGGAACTCGGAGGCCAGCCATATCAATGCCCGGCTCCTCTCTTAGTCGCGAGATGAGGAACCATCACCAATCTCGACCCCTCCATTCTCACCACCATCATCTTCGCCTTTGACGGTCATTGGGCACTTCTTGTTGCTGAACCTGTCGAACATCGCTTCAAGGCAACCATCTTTGACGGGCTCGATCATCGGGCTCACGAAGGTGGCCACTACATCGCTACGACCCTTGCTAGTCAATGGAACATCCCGTGCGAGTGCATCCAAAGCCTCACCTACTACCACCAACAAGACAACTGCACGTGCGGCACCATAGCACTTGCCCATCTCGCGGCCGTTCTCGACCTCTGGCCTGAGTCCAACCAGCCAGACATTGCTACTTGGCATCGTCACCTTCAAGCTGGCAACCTCACCAACGAGTACATTCATGCAGCCAACGGCCCATGCAATGAAGAGGAAGTGCTCAAGCAGCTCACCGCCATCCTCGCAGACAAGGGCGTACCACTTGATCGCGTCGAGGAGAGAGCCACCCATGCCATCAAGAAGCTCGGCCTAAGCAGTATTGCTGAGGCCTTGGCCTCCAAGCAAACATGGAGCGCTATCAAGGCGCTAGGATCCAGGCCATCGAGCCCCTTTCAGTGGATCAGGCACGACGAACTCCTCAAGAAAGTCCAGCTCAAGGCTGCCAACCAGTTCGGCATCAGCACCTCCGTCAAAAAGAAGGACAAGAACAAACCAGAACGTGCCGCGGAAGGCAAAACCGAGTGCAACATCACGCCCAGCGAGCTTCAGCTCATACCAGGCACATTCACTGGGGAAGACGGCATCCCCATTGAAGCTCTCTCCATCCACAACCTCAGCAAAGGTCGCACTGGCATCGCCTTTGCTACCATCAGCGAAGCAGCTCCATACCTCAAGGAAGGAATCCAGCTCAGCACTGGCCCCCTGGCTATACTCACCACCACCTGCATCCCGCCAACGCTTTGTGGACAACTTCCAACCGAGAACATTCTCTTCCCTGCAAAGCACATTGCCACGCAGGAACCCATCCTCATTCACGGCAGCATCATTCAGCTTGGCCAGGTCATAGTTGCACGGCCAGTACGCAACACACTCCCAGATGTCGCACCCATCGCCACCTGTACGATCAAGCTTGCCATCTACCAGGACCAATGGGCCAACCCATGGAACACCTTCGTTGAGGGACCTATGCGTCAGGTCATGCAGCACTACCCCATTATGACGCTCTGCCGCTCTGAAGGTTGCGGTGACACCTGCCGAAAATTCCATCCTCCAGTTGATGAAGAACAAGTCACCAGTGTCATCCTTGACATTTGGGGAAGGCAGTGGGTCAACGCACAAGGAGCTCGTGTCCCCAAAGAAAAAGCCACCAGCTGGACCGCTCTTGTTCGAATCCCTCAGGTTGCTTTCCACAACCTACTCAACCTTTCCGGCACGGATGGTCTCTATGTCGACCCCAGACACTCCACAGGACGCTCCCCGGATGAGCAGTTCGGTGTCGTCTGGCTTGCTGGAGCTACTCTCCAGACCATCTCCTACAAGCACAGGACCACAGAAAGTTCGGTCTCCATCGTGCGTCTCAACGACCGATATGGGCTCCGATTCACCTCAGACCACCTACCACAAGCACACAAGGAGCTCAAGCCCGACGAGCCGTACCTCCAGGTCAAGGTCGTTGACATCTACAAGATCTTTCCCCTTCCTCATGGAACTCAGCGGCAAGGACTCGTCAAATCCCTCGCGGCTTGGAAATGGAAGACCAAGCCACTTCAGCCACGCAAAGGTGACCAACACGGCATTGGATGGGAGGTCGGCGCCGACACTCCCCCGCCCAGCGACATCCTTCAAGGAGCTCATGGCGATGTTCTTGTTACCAAGCTCCGAACGCTCAAGCCCGATCTCAACGGTCCTTCACTGGTCGCCTTCGACAGGACGCAGAAATACCTGAACAACAACCCCGAGCCAGCCGCCCGTGCCTCGCAAGACCCCTGGCAAGCCGGAAGTGACCCATGGTCACAGTGGTTTCATCAACATCCGGCTGAAGGCAAAAGCGCAGGAACAAAGCCAACTGCAGATCGTCTTCAACAAGCCGAAGAACGCATCAAAGCCACCGTCACTGCCTCGCTCCAGAAGCAAATTGACCAATGGCAGCAACCCTCTGGATGGGACACCGACCAGACCATGGAGGGCGACGATCACAACAAAATCGACACCCGCTTCCAGTTCCT